CATGGTCCTGCTAGATTGCCATTGCCAATACTGTTGTTGCTGTGCACCTGTCTGTCTGTCTGTCTGTCTGTCTCTCTCTCTCTCTCTCTCTCTCTCTCTCTCTGGCTCTCTCTCTTTCTCTCACCCCAACTGGTCGAGACAGACGACCACCCACCTAGAGCCGAAGGATCTGTCCTAGGTTTCTGCCTTTTAACAGGCAGTTTTTCCTTGCCCTTGTCGCCAAGTGCTTGCTCATGGTGGTACTGTTGGGTCTCTGTAAATAATGTAATAAAGAGTTCGGTCTAGACCTACTCTATTTGAAAAGTGTCCTGAGATAACTTCTGTTATGAATTGGCGCTATACAAATAAAATTGAATTGAATTGAATTGAACCAGGGAATATTTAATACTCACCTGCTCATCTACAACAAAGGCAGAACTGTTTATACGTTTTATACACACGGACACATTCATGTGGACTCTATAATTAAGGACATTTCACATTTTTTGAACTCTACATTTCATGCTGTCTGAAAATTGTGTTTATCATGGTACTTACCTGAACGTTTACAGTTATTTGAGTGTCTGCACATTAATGTAACTGTGCTAGTTATTTTTGTGCTGAGCTTCTGATATTCTATGTTTATGCTGCTTATTGAAAGAGTTTGATCGTATCTGCTTAGGGGCTTTCTTCTGGCTTAATAATTCTGAGTTTTGAGTTGATAATGTCAAAGTCAGGTTACGTCCTCGACGCTCTGAACGTGCACGGAAATCTACAGAGAAGATTTGTGCACTACAAGTGGAGGAGGCCAAGAAAAGGGAGAAAAGGCTGCTCTCCATGTACGAGCAATGGAAACTCAGCATACGCAAAGCAAGAGATCAACTGAAGTCCTACATGCCAGATGGTGAGCTCTGGCCTCTCATTGAAGAACTTAAGAAAAGTAAGGAAGACATAATGAACATGTATTTTGAAATGCGAGATCTCGCCACACCTTCCACTGATGTCAGACGACGAGTCGATACCTGTGAATCAGTCACCACAGAAATCATTATCATTGCCCACAACAGAGCAATAGATGATGAAGTTGAGTTTAATGAGGAGCAAGAAAGACACCACCTTCATGAACTGCTCCACCGTGACTATGCAAAGTCTGTCTTTGGATCCGCTGCGTCATTGACAAGTCACAGCAAGTCTGACCATCACTCCATGACTTTGTCTATGGCGGCCAAGCGTGCGGATGCAGCAGCAGAACTAGCAGTGAAGGAAACCAATTATGAGATGATGGTAGCCAAAGAAAGACAAAGGGAAGTGATTCGAGAGTTATAGGAACAACAGAGGATAGCTCTAGAGGCACAAAAGCACAAGTTGGAGCGATTGCAGGCAGAGAAGGAAGTGCGAGCAGCTAAGGCCAAGCTGAAGGTGTATAATAAAGAGACAGAACATGAAGCTGCTGACTGCATCAACATTGAAAAGGATAAGGAAGCAAAGAACATGCCTGTAACTGCCGTCCCGCTATCCCATGTTGCAACACCCTCTCATAAAGACGTTTCCTCTCTTGCTCAGGTCTTTCAAGACAGCATAGCCTTGAATAGACTCCCTGTTCCAGAGCCATTCGTCTTCGATGGTGATCCAATACGATTCACTGAATGGAAGTCAGCGTTTTCCTCGCTCATTGACCAAAGAGCTATTACTCCAGCTGAAAAACTTTGAAGCCTACCAGGATGCCTGGAACAAGCTCACTCGACGCTTTGGCCAGCCATTTGCCATTCAGAGAGCATTCAGAGAGAAGCTCACCAATTGGCCAAGGATACAACCTAAAGATGCAGAGGGACTCAGAAACTTCTCTGATTTTCTGAATGCCTGTCAAGATGCCATGCCTCATGTCAAGGGTCTCGACATATTAAGCGACTGCGAGGAGAACCAGAAGCTTGTCCATAAACTACCAGACTGGGCAGCTTCACGCTGGAACCGACAAGTCACACAAAGCCTGAACGATAGGCAAGAATTCCCAAGTTTCAAGGACTTTGCAATATATGTGTCAACTGAAGCTGAGATTGCCTGCAATCCAATTACGTCTCTTTACGCTCTTCGCTCATCAGACTCTAACGCTGAGAAGAGAAATCTCAGAGACACAAAGAGAAACAAGGCCAGTGTTTTCACCACTCAAGCAGCTACAGACATCATGAACAAAGGGTCAGAGCAGAGAAAGGTTAAGACTCCATGTATTCTTTGTCAAGATAATAGACACCAGCTTCATGCGTGTCCCAAGTTTACAGAGATGTTGATGTTGGTAGAGCGACGTAACTATGTAAAGGAGAAGAAACTCTGCTATGGATGCCTAAAATTCGGCCACAGCGCAAAAGACGTCATCGTCACTTCTGCGACAACTGTAAAGGAAAACATCCGACAGTCCTCCACAATTACAACTATGGGAAGGAAAAGTCTTCATCCGAAGCAGGGACAAATCAAAGGGCTGCTGCAACGTCGCTCAGTGTTGCAGGCGAAGGCTCATCCTACACATCGATGGTGATGCCAGTGTGGGTGTCTTCCAAAAACAACCCAACTGCTGAGAAACTTGTCTACGCTCTACTTGACACTCAAAGCGATACGACATTCATCGACCGAGAAGTGAGTGACAGTCTAAATGCTGACAAGTATCCAGTGAAGTTGAAGCTGACAACCATGACTGGAATGAACACAGTTCTCTCAAGTGAGAGTGTTTTTGGCCTCCGTGTAAGGGGATACAGTTCTGCCATTCAGGTTGATCTCCCAGTTGCCTACACAAAGGACTACATACCTGTAAACCGTGCTCATATTCCCACTTGTGAGATGGCTAAGCAATGGAGTCACCTCAGGGAAATAGCAGAAGAAATCCAACAACTGAAGGACTGTGAAATAGGGCTCCTGATAGGCTACAACTGCTCTAGAGCTATGGCACCAAGGCAGGTTATTCTAGGAGGAGATGAGGAACCCTATGCTGTACAAACGGACTTAGGCTGGAGTATTGTGGGGCGCTCATCACAAAGCTATGATTGTTATTTGGATCATTGACTCCATGCCACTTACTAGCTTGCTGTTTACAAATCACCCCATCAGCCAACACCACAAAGCAACCAACGATCATTCCTGGGAGTCTGGATGACAGATGACAGAATTTTGCTACGTTAGCAAGCTAGCAATTCTTGTTAGCAAACAAGTTATTACGATATATTTCAACCATTGCAGCTTTGACTTTGTGTTGGACTTTGCAGCGGGTGTTGTTTGCAGATGTTAGTGGGCTCCATTTATGAGCTAACATCAGCTAGTGTTGCACACTATCAGAGAAGAGACACTAGGGAGCAGGCATCTTTGGATTTTTGCAGAAAAATATCCTTACATAGAAACAGAGAAAGTCTCGTCTTTTAAGTTACATTACAACCCGTTCACACGTTGGCAATTAAAAGTTATCAATTCAATTTCAATTCAATTTTATTTGTATAGCGCCAATTCATAACAGAAGTTATCTCAGGACACTTTTCAAATAGAGCAAGTCTAGACCGAACTCTTTATAACATTATTTACAGAGACCCAACAGTACCACCATGAGCAAGACCTTGGAGACAAGGGCAAGGAAAAACTGCCTGTTAAAAGGCAGAAACCTAGGACAGATCCTTCGGCTCTAGGTGGGTGGTCGTCTGTATCAATGCACAACACAATCACAATCATACAAAACATAAAATGCTTCAAAAAAATCACATATAGAACTTTTAAAGGATTAAAAAGATATTTTGGAAATAACTAACTGTACAAGAGTATTGATTTAGTACAACTGTTTCCATTACTGTTTATTTATTTATTTATTTTGTTACTTTTTTGTCTTTCTTTCTGTGTTTTTTTTATATCTACCCATAGTGTATTCATAACTACCTATAGTGTAATCATATCTCGCTGTCTGTATATAATGTCAATCTCACTCCGTTCATTCTGTTAATGCTGTTCATTATGTAAATATCCTGCCAGTATATTCATATATCTATCTATAACGTTATTATTACTTTTTTACATATTTTTGTAAATATGCACATTACTCTGCACTTCACTGCTTTGCACTTCTGGTTAGATGCTAACTGCATTTTGTTGCCTAGTACCTGTACTTGCAATGTGCAATGACAATAAAGTTTTTCAACTCGTTGTGTCCTCTGCATTTGCTAATGGAGAATTAGCTCCACCACCTGTGTATCTCCATTAACCAATTAACTCATATTCATCCACAGCAATGAATGGAAATGCTCAATAATTCACATTTCATTGTCTTTTGATTATTTTCGAGAAACTCTTAATTTAAAATGAGCTAAATATGGATGAAAACTTAAAAACAGCAGGGAGCTGATGAGCTTAGCTTAGCACAAAGACTGGAAGCAGGTTGAAACAGCTAGCTAAACTAATTAACACCTTAATACAGATGAAAACTAACATGCAACTATAAGTATAGTATATATATAATCTAGTAGATTTTATGTGATTAAAGTCTCTGAGTGGTTTGTTGCTCTTACTTTGGAGCAGGGAGTTCTGTACTGTTTCAGTTTACAGGAAGAGTTCATTCAGCTGTGCAGTGTAGTGAAATGACGGGATTGTTTCGCAGTGATCTAAATTTTATAAAGCAGTAATGCAACTACATACATTGACCTTCTTTCACACATATTAGCTACCTCTGTCAGTTCCTGTAAACTGACATGAAAACCTTTTTTATCAGCTCTTGTTCTGGTGACACTGGAGTATCACTTGAGTCTGTGCTGAAAGACAGTATATAAAGAGCACAGCAAGCTTTATTTTCATTATAGCTGACACTAATTCCAACCAGGTAAGGCCTGCTTACACTCACTGTGACTCTTTGATCTGGAAATGCACTCATTCTCTCTTTCTCTCTGAACGTTTTCTCTTTTCCAACCTCTGGAAGTGTAGCAGCTGTTGTTTGATGTACATTTTATGTTAAGGATAAATATTGAACATTTAGGAAAAATGAAACAATGAAATGTCCTGACTGTCTGCCTCCTTCCCTCCAGACCTTCATCATGTTCATCATGAAGACCGATCTACTCGTCTCTCTTCTGTGTGTCACACTGTGTGTGAGTGCCGCAGCAGGTAAAGTCATCAGACTCCAGACAGCAGCCTTGACTATTCTTGTATGGGTGCATCAAACAAACTCAAAATGTATGGATATTAATATGAACGACTACTTGATAATATGATGTGTTTACTCTACTGTTTGGATTCCTAGTTGTTCCAGTGGAAGATATTCTTCAGAAAGAGAAAGCTGATGTTTCAGTTCCAGGTCAGTGTTTATTTAACACCTGTATTCTATCTATGACTTCTGTCCTTTCTTTCTACTGTTTGTTTACGCTGCTGTCACTGTCTGTCTATTTAATGTTATTAATAATAATATTAGATTATGAGTGCTGCTGCTTCATCAGCATCATACAGGCTGGAAACTGCACAATTATCATCCATGATAATATCAGAACACAACGACACACTCCCTGATTTTCTTACAGATCTTGACAGACCTTTTTCACAGCAGCCGTTTTGACATGAAATAGTAGGGTAATGTCAAAATGGCTGCTGTGAAAAAGGTCTCTGGAGCCCCAAAACATACATTATTATCCCAGCTCACTGCTGAAACTTTGAAACTCAATTGAAATGTGTTTTGTATTTACATTGTGAATTGTTTCTTTAATATATACATGGTGTTTTCCTCTCAGCTGCAGCAGTAGCAGATGTGGAAGAGGAGGAAGCTGAACTTCCAGCCTCAGGTCAGTGTTTGTTTACCTGCTTTCTGTTCTCTGTCTTATTTTCAGACTATGACAAAGGTCGTACTCAGATTTGTCAGTCGAGGGACGCTGGACATGTTAGCCATTATTATCAGCATGCTCAGCATCATCTCCATCACTTTTTAAGTTAGATGAATGGGATTTAAAAATCCCACAATCTGAATATGCAAATGTTGTTAGTCAATTTCAAGTTGTCCTGCTGGACACAAGATGTCCATTTTCAGTGTATGTGCACTGGTGGCTCACACTGTAGAAGTTGCATACTGGATCAGTACCAACAGTGAGCTGTGAGGACATTTTGGGATATGGGGGCACTGAGGCCACACAGAAACATATATTTTCACTCTCACTTTGTTTCAGAAGGAGAAGATGTGCAAGAAGAGAAAACTGAACTCTCAGTCACAGGTCAGTGTCTGTCAACAACAAATATAATAGTTTATTGATCATTGCTGCTCTCATAAATAGTCTCCTAAACATGGTCTTTCTTGCCGTAGAGGACACAGCAGATGTTGCACCAAAGGATCTACTGAAGGACAACACTCTGCGTAAGCTCATTTCAGGAAAGACTAAACACAGTGTTAAAATGTAGACAGAAAGAAAAACAAAACAAAACAAAATAATAAATGAAACAATGTGTATTCTCTCCCTGCACTGACCAGAAAATGGAATTCCTCCTCCTCCTTTCATGCAAGGTAAATTACATGTCACTCGATACTGCTGACGTCTGTATGACAAAATCTTAAAAAAAAAAAATTGTATCTAAAAATGACAATTCTGTTATTTTTTAAATCAAAAGTAAAAGTTTTTCACTAGTTATTCAGGCTGTAAAAGAAAGCAGTTTACATACATATCTTGTATATACATATGAAAATATCCTACAGGAAGTGAAAGCTAAAGTCAGAAAAAGAATAGTTTGACACTATGGGAACTATGGGTTTTATACTTGATGAACAGACATGAGAGTGGTATCAATCTTCTCATCTAACTCATGATAAGATAATTAATAGGTGTACCTACCTACCAAACCACAGAATCAAACTATTCCTGTAAGTTTTTTGGGTAAATGGGAAGCTAACAGTTAGCATGCTGCTCTTTACTGACATGAGGTTCACACAGAGGAGATTTACCTGAGTGTCTAAATAAATGTTTAATGTTCACTTGAATCCTTTTCTTCAGAGAGAGCATCTTCACATTGTCCTCAAGGCTGGCAGCCATACCACAACAGCTGTTACCTGCTGGTCAACCTTACATATACCTGGACCAACGCAGAGGTACAACATGGAAGATGAAACAAAAGAAAATAAATGATCTTTTTTCCGTTTGAAGGTGTAAACAGTTGTAAAATGCTAACCTGTCCAAGAAACATCTTCAGACATCACTGGTTACTAACATAGATTACTTCACTTTTTCTTCAACATTTCTGAGTGCTTTGAAGGTTTTCGCTGTACGTATCATCTTAAAGGAACATTCTGACAGCTCTGATAATTTAACTGGAGTCAGATGAGGTGATTTATCTGGTTTATTGATGTATGTTCAGGCTGTGTATAGCCTAGCTTAGCACAAAGACTACAACAGCACCACCAAAACTGAATTCAGATTTTCTCCCAAATGTTGGACTGTTCCTTTAGTGCTTGTGCAACCACAGCCACTGTTAGTGCTTGTTCCTCTGTTCCTTCAGTACAAAGTCAACCATTGAAGCTGCTCTCTGTCCACTTTTCTATTCATGCCTTTGCTTGTGTGTCCTTCTCTCTCTCTCTGTCCAGTTCCTGTGTGAGAGTCCCACAATTTATGGGAATACAATTTCCTGAAGCAAATGACCTGGAAGGCTGGTTTCTTAGCAGCCTGGCTCGGTGGATACAGATTCCAGGTCAGAGATGATATCAAGCTTTACAAAAAGACACTTTTCCACAGTGCTGTAACAAACACTTACTGTAAGTCGACTGCCTCCCCCACACACACAGGGCTACTGGAAGTGGGATGATGGCACACCATTCAACTACAACAACTGGTACATGCACACCAGCAGCAGCTCCTATGACTGTATCTACTTGAACAGCCAAGGTAAGGAAACACACTGAGGTGAGAGTGAACGACTTTGACAAGGGCCACATTGTGATGGCTAGATGACTGGGTCAGAGCATCTCCAAACCTGCAGCTCTTGTGGGGTGTTCCTGTCTGCAGAGGTCAGTATCAAAAGGGGTCCAAGGAAGGAAAAGAACTGGAGACAGGTTCATGGGGGGCCAAGGCTTTCTCGTCTTGCAGGTTCTCATGGATCCTGGTGGAACCTGCTCCCATGGTCCTGCTTGACTGTCATCGCTAATATTATTTAAGAAGAAGCCTTTATTTGTCATTGCACAGGATACAATGTAATTGCATAGTATTGATATTATTGTTATTATTATTATTACTACAGATACTATTATCATTATGGATTATGTGTAATAAGGATTCATTAATTTACAAAAAAATAAGTAACTATAATCAGCCCAGATTAAATTTGAAAAAAATGTATTAGATTATTTTATTTCATTATTGTAAATTATCTTGAAGCAGCGTTTTACTACTAACTTAGTTATGTAAGGTACAGAAACATAGAGTTTCTAAGTCAGTGTCACTTAAAATTTCCAAAGCTTCATGAGTCATTTAATTTAGTATTATTATTATTATTTGAGTAATTTCGCAATTTAAGCAATTCCCCCCTGGGATTATTAAAGTATTTCTGATTCTGATTCTGATTCTGATTATAATGAGGAAAAGAAGAAAAAAATAGTCCTACATGACGTGGGGACGTTGGGTCATTTAATGTTTTTCAGGATTACAAACATTTACAAAACTGTGACAAGATACCAAAATATCCCACAATTCATATGAAAACTACAGCCTGCTGTGTGTTCATGTACACATGTGACTGTGTTGGTGCCCTTATGTTTATTTGTAACTTTATGAGGGTGTTGATGATATTTTGGTCCACTGATACAATCACAGGATGATTGATTTATTACATTGGCCCTGTTAGAATATGAGCTCCATTACAACCACAGTAGTGGTTTACTGCTGTATAAAATCCTTATCTGGATTTATTGCAGGAATTGTCCACATAATAAGGAAACGTCCTCTGACAGGATTTGCTGTGAACAGTCAGGGAAACACAAACAGTTTGTTTGAATGTAATCACATTGCAGTTTACAGCAGAAACAAATTAACCTGGTTCAGACTGTTTACTGTTTCCTGTGTGCCATAAAGAACAACAGCTGGGACAAAGTCAGCCATAATAAATGTTCCTTGTATTGATTTAGGATTTGCAGACTAAACATCAAACATAGACTTTCAAGGACAGCAGGGAGGTGTCTTTATGAACGACCTTCAGATTACAAAGAAATCAGCCGGATAATACAATCTGCTTTTACAGTCAGGGGGAAGTGGTCAACATCTTTTTGGGTTGTTTCCATTTTGTTACACACTGGACCTTTAATGGGAGCTAAGGACACACACACACACACACACACACACACACACACACACACACACACACACACACACACACACACACACACACACACACACAAGAGTTAAGCAAGAAGAACAGAACAAACTGATTGACAGGACACTCGACTACATGTTAATTTAAATTATATTTAAGGTTTATAATATATCAGAAGGTTTAGGATGTGTCTTTCTGGAGGAAAACATCATTAACATGAGTGTTGTATCATATAATGCTATCAGTCAGATCTCTATCAGTCATATCAGTCTTATTTATGTCACTGTTTCCTTATTGGCCCTCATTGGAACACAAACACACTCACGTTTCCACTCCAGTCAATGGTCAAAGTTCATTCATTCACATGCTGCTCTGTGCACCAGCTGTGCTTCAGGTGTGTGTACATAAAGAACAAGACAGCCTCCTCTTCATCACTGCATCACTCACCTGACACCTGAGCACCACCTCACATTTACCTGACAGGTAAGACCCGTGCTCTGTCTCTCTGTCTCATTCCATGTTAGTGAATGCTGGAAGTGTCTGACTGCCTCTGACTCCCCGCAGACCTTCAGACTTCATCATCCTCATCTTCATCTTCATCATGAAGGCTCTCTTGCTCCTCTCGGTTTTGCTCTGCGGGGCTCTTACAGCCACAGCTGCAGCAGGTCGGATTTTTAAAATTTTATTTAGACCTTGTTGTGTCCCTTGTATGTGAAAACCTCCTTGGCAACAAACCTAACTCTGATTCTGATTCTGATGTAGATTTATCCAGAATTTGACTTTTAAGCTTCATGGTTGATGAGTTCTGGCTGATTTATTATCTAGTCAGTCATTATTTTTCTACCAAATGACATCCGGGGGGCTCCGTACTTTTTGGTTTGAATACATGGATGAATAAATGAATGAAGTGTCAGAGACAGGTGACACACAGCAGCCTAATCCTTATGTTTTCTTCTCAGTGGGAGCTGCTGAAGCTGCACCACAGGAGCTGCAGGAGGACAACCAGAGTAAGTTGCTCTCAGGTAGAAAACAGCTGCGATACAGTTCTAATGTAAGTTATGTGATGCTGTGAACTGACTGTATCATCACACTGTAACACAGCTCCTGTTTTCTGTTTCAGTATCAGAGGCAGAAAATGAAGCTGGAGTTTTTGTTCCTGAAGGTAAATAGCTGAACAGATAATTCACCACATCTTGGGTCATATTAGTGACAGTGTGATCATAATGGGATTGTTCTTCTTCTCTGTTTAGAAGAAAAGCCTAGGAGTTTTTTTGCTGGAGAGATGGCTCCATCAGCTGAAGGTTTACTGTCTTTGAATATAACATTGAGTCTGTCCATCAGTGTAATGGAATCAAAGCCTTTGTTCCAGCATGTGCTCCTCTCTTTCTCCTCTGCAGGTCGTTTTTTCGCGTGTCCCTCTGGCTGGGTCAGATATAAGAGCAGCTGCTATCAGTTAGTGAGCTCCAGCAGATCCTGGAGCAGTGCTGCGGTACTTTACATTCTTTAATTAAGACACACTTTTACTAATTTTTAAGTGTATTTCTTTGCTGTACATCTGAAAAACTCACATTCACTAACATTGAAATGTCCATTCTGGCTCCTTCCAGGCCCACTGTGCCAGTCTGGGAGCCTCCTTGGCTTCAGTCCATGATCAGTTTGATTACAGTTTCCTCCAGGAGCTCACCAGGAGAGCAGGATACACCATCTCCTGGATGGGAGGATTCTACTTCCAGGTTATTAGACCCTCATACATATTTTATAAAAGCCACTATAACAGATGAATCACCATCCTAGATAGGCTGCATCAGCATAAAAATATGAAAATTGTGGACAGAAATCTCCAGTCGAAGTCTGCTGCTTGTTAGACTTGCTGTGTCTTGTGTCCAGGGCTGGAGGTGGGTGGACCAGAGCTCCTTCAGCTACTCCTACTGGAGTACAGTGAATTCTGCCAGCAGCTACCCATGCGTCTACCTTAGAGTCTCTGGTAAGAGCACATTGCCATCTGTCACTGCAACTGTAGTTACATTCAGCTAATGATACTTCTGATTTAAGGGAGTGCATTTCAGTTTATTTTAATGATGATAAATGATTACAGTTAATATTTAGCTCATGTAGTGTTGATGAATGAACATTTTCTATTGCAGGGGGCTGGTCCAATCATGCCTGCAGTACTACATGGCCGTCTATCTGCATGAAGAGGACTGACACCTGCTAACCCTGACACCAGGATACAGCTGTGTGTGCTGATCTTAATCATATTCCTTGCAATGTGGTGCAGGACATTTAGGATTGGTGTTCGCATAAAAACTTAGCTTTGAGTTCAGCAAAAAGAATCAGAGGAGTTGTATGTATTATAAGACATTATTGAATGAGATTTGTTGATGACTTCATGCTGTACATATAAAACAAACTACTGCAAAATCAGATCTGTAAAGAGGCCACCGTCCAGTTTTGATGTTTTTTAAACTTTAGAATATGTGTTTTACATAAACATTAGAAATTGAAATACATGTCAAATAATAAACAATGTTTGATGGACTAAGTTATTCTTGTGCCGTATTTGCACCTGATAGCAAATGTTACCTACTTGGTGTCCTAGTATGGATGCTAAATGGAATAAAAATTACTACCTACCCGGTATCTTGCCAAAGCGTATAATACACACACACTGGTCCACTGTGGCAGTGTCATATTTTCAACACATGCTCATTCTGTGCTAAAGTTAGCAATAACAAATATGCAACATCTGGTTACACTTTCAAAATAAAGCTTGCAGAGGTCGCAGTTTGGTAAGGTTTAAGAAAAGATTGTAAGTTATGTTACGTATCCAACTAAAAATAAGTCAGTGTCTTGTGTGAAACCAAAAGTCAACATTGGCTTATATAATGTAAATTCAATTACATAGCTAATGTACTTACTTTAACCCAAACAATGGTCTATTCTTAAATTATTAAACTATTTATTGCTTTCAGTTTTTTTTCAGTTGTAACTAAAACTTTAACTTGTTGTTTTTCTGTACAATGAAATCCTAAATTCACTATAACTACATCAGTATTTTTATGCGTGTTATTATATGAAATACAATCAATCCACTTTGCCTCTTACTACTGAAAGGTGTGCACTTATATACACACATGCAGCAAGATGAATGGAATTAGGTTTGTAGGAAATTAATGAATGATGGCCAGGATGGAGTAGGTTTTACTGTGATTGAAGGAGGTGGATAGATTTTTCATAGAGATGCAATTTATAAGTTTTTCCAGTGTGTAATATTTATGTTGTTACTTGATTTCCGGAGAACTGTAAGGTATTTTTTTCTGCTGGAGGACCAATTCTGTATTTCTATAGAAATATTTCAAAAAGCACCTTTGTCTAAAAATATTTTTCCTTTTACTGAAATTCTCTCTAAAACCACCAGTGAGGTGTGATGCTGAGGTTATTTGTGACTATTTAGGCACTTCCCCCTGTGCAAGAGAAGCAAACATTGGCTTGCCCAAAAAGGTGCCATTGATTACACTCCACAAGCATTGTCACATATTCTCCATATTTAGAGTGATTTAAAAGAACGTTCAAAAGGTTTTAAGAGCAACTGAGATCCAAGATTTTCTCACCCTAAGCACCTGTTGTTAAGAGTTTATGGTCTGCACATGAACATTATTAGACCTAGTCATTCATTTGGAAAGCCTGAAATGTCAAATTTAATAATATTATGTCATACTAGAGCTTAAGTTTCAACTTGGTGACTAAAACTGACTGAAACTAAATCAAAATCAGATGCCAAAGTAAACACTGCATTGAAGACTTTTTGTTCAGTATTAAAGCTATAATCTGTAACGTTTCTGCATTAAACAGTCTAAAACTATGTTCTATATGTAGTTGTGTACTTCCATTATCCCAAATGTTTCCAACAATGTTCAAACTCAGAGAAATCTGTCATTTTATTCAGATAACGCTGGTGTCATATCCCCTTTGTGCCTGCGTCAGTGTTGTGGTTGTCTGCCAGAAGCTGTCATACATTGACTGTTTATCCAGTCTGAAGCCACATTTTTACCATCCACTGTTTAGATCTTGGTGCTTTTTAACTCTAGATTTGAACCTGATGAAGGATTTTAGTTATAGGACGTCTGGATCTTAAGTTATCAGAGAAGAAGAAAAAGCTGAGCTAACGTTGGCAGCACCTCGGCTCGCAGCACAATTTGTCCAACTGTGTGGGTGAAACAGCGATTTTTAAGGTGGAACTGTTTTATTCAGTGTTTTTAGCGGTTTTAATCAGCGTGAGGAGGAGACCTCTGTGGATAATTGGGCTTCCGGTAAAGACAACAACTCCCATGATCCCATCTACTTCACATCATCATCAAACATCGTCATCTTTTGCTATTGTTTTGATGTTAGACACCCTAGTGGCAGAAATTACACATTGTATGTTGAATTAATACATCAGAAGATATTTCAACAGTTTATTTGAAGATCATCAAAAACACACAGACTTGATTCCCAACACACATCAGAAGATGTTCAGTTTATAAATCATGATCACAAAATGAAGAATGCCATGAAGTATTCAAAACCTTTAACCTTCAGTGAAAGCATGCGTATAAAGCCATCACAACACAATTATTCTTCTACATTTGATCCCTGATCAGCAATTTCATCCAGTTAAAATCCTAGCATCTTTTTCTCCTTCTTTCAATCCCTCCTTTTATTACTACAGGACAGTGACATCACATAAATCAGCCTTTAGGTCATCCTCCTGTGGAGAGCTGACTAGTGCTATCTCTTCTGAGCCTACCTTTTTATCACCACAGCTCTCTCCTTCCCCGGCACTTTGGCCTCCCTCACTCTCACTGCTTGTTTCCTCCTCGTACTTGTTCCCACTCTGCTTCCTCTCCTCTACCTCTCGTCTGCTCTCCCCTGGTTTGTCCTCCTCTGTAATGGAGGAGTCATCACTGTCGCTGTCGTCCTCGTCTTCCCCTTTGCCTTCGTTTCTTGCTCTACAACCCCATCCATTTCCCTTGTCATCCATCCTCTGTCCACCATCTTCACCTTGACTTCCCTCTGCTTCCTCATCATCTTCCCCTCCTGTCTTCCCCCTGGCCAGAGGCAAAGCCCCATCTGGTGCTCTAGGTTACCGATGGCTGCCCTCAGCCTCTGCCTCACACCCAGTAGGAGCCTTGGGACAGACTTGTCTTGGCCTAAATCCCCCTTCCTCATGGTCTCAAGGAATCCCACAATCAGCGCCACAGCTATGATGGCCAAAGGAATCCAAAGGACTATTAACTTTTTTTCCTTAGATTTCTTGGCTTCAGGGGTTGTCCTTATGGTCGGTGCTGCGGAGGACTTTGGAGGAAGTTGGGCGGTTGTTTGGAAACTTGATGTCACTGTGGATGATGAATTAATTACCTCTGTTCCCATGACAAACTGAGTCTTGTTAGATGCAGAATCAAATGTATAATTCACAGTCATGGAAAGAGTCGAGAGGGTGGTGTTGCTGTTGTTTGTTTGATGAGCAGCAGAAGATGCAGGGATCAGGAGAACTGACATGAATACAGTCAGAACTAGGATGGCCTTGGTCTCCATGGTGACTGTATGGGCAGTAAAAAGACAAAAAAACAGAAATGCCAGTTAGAATAATGGCAGCACGCTATAAAGACACATTATTATACAATAATATGAAGTACTGTTCTAGAGGGGGGGAAAAGCAGCAACAGAAAGAATACAAACAAGATCAGATACAGCAGTAATTTGCAACCATAATTATCACTGACAAAACAAAGTGACTTCATGTAATTTGGGATGTGTCAGCAGTTAATAAGCTAGCTGAAAAGTTCCACTACTTTCACTACCACGTTGCAGCATCACCAATAGTGTTATTTTACAACTATCTTAGGAACATTGCTGTTATGTACTGTAGCCTGCTGTATCATCACAACCTCCCTCTCTGGATGAATCTAACGAAACATAAAGCAATAGAAATTCCCTAAATATACACAGTAGGCCTATATATAATCATCCTGCATTAAACAGTATGCAGTTTTAAGAGCTACACTGTAAAACCAGATGAGAATTTAACTCAAAACACTTCTGAAACTGATGAACAAACATTCTCACTTAAAATTACTTAAGCTACTTAATCAAGAATATTTTTTTATTTTACTACTTACAAAGTGTAGTTAGTTTTACTTAATTTTTTTGGTGTAATCAGTTTCAACCACTTGAGTTAAATGAACTTATCTGGTTTTTCAGTGTTGTAGAGCCAGCGTCAGGGAAAAGAAAACACTGAATTTGTAAAAAGCTGTATAAAAAGCTTCTAAAAATATCTCTCTGATCAATATTCTCAGGAAATAATCTGCTCAAAATTAATCTAAATCACTTCCTGTAAACTGACATGAAAACCTTTTTTATCAGCTCTTGTTCTGGTGACACTGGAGTGTCACTTGAGTCTGTGCTGAAAGACAGTATATAAAGAGCACAGCAAGCTTTATTTTCATTATAGTTGACACTAATTCCAACCAGGTAAGGCCTGCTTACACTCACTGTGACTCTTTGATCTGGAAATGCACTCATTCTCTCTTTCTCTCTGAACGTTTTCTCTTTTCCAACCTCTGGAAGTGTAGCAGCTGTTGTTTGATGTACATTTTATGTTAAGGATAAATATTGAACATTTAGGAAAAATGAAACAATGAAATGTCCTGACTGTCTGCCTCCTTCCCTCCAGACCTTCATCATGTTCATCATGAAGACCGATCTACTCGTCTCTCTTCTGTGTGTCACACTGTGTGTGAGTGCCGCAGCAGGTAAAGTCATCAGACTCCAGACAGCAGCCTTGACTATTCTTGTATGGGTGCATCAAACAAACTCAAAATGTATGGATATTAATATGAACGACTACTTGATAATATGATGTGTTTACTCTACTGTTTGGATTCCTAGTTGTTCCAGTGGAAAATATTCTTCAGAAAGAGAAAGCTGAGGTTTCAGTTCCAGGTCAGTGTTTATTTAACACCTGTATTCTCTCTATGACTTCTGTCCTTTCTTTCTACTGTTTGTTTACGCTGCTGTCACTGTCTGTCTATTTAATGTTATTAATAATAATATTAGATTATGAGTGCTGCTGCTTCATCAGCATCATACAGGCTGGAAACTGAACAATTATCATCCATGATAATATCAGAACACAACGACACACTCCCTGATTTTCTTACAGATCTTGACAGACCTTTTTCACAGCAGCCGTTTTGACATTAAATAGTAGGGTAATATCAAAATGGCTGCTGTGAAAAAGGTCTCTGGAGCCCCAAAACATACATTATTATCCCAGCTCACTGCTGAAACTTTGAAACTCAATTGAAATGTGTTTTGTATTTACATTGTGAATTGTTTCTTTAATATATACACGGTGTTTTCCTCTCAGCTGCAGCAGTAGCAGATGTGGAAGAGGAGGAAGCTGAACTTCCAGCCTCAGGTCAGTGTTTGTTTACCTGCTTTCTGTTCTTTGTCTTATTTTCAGACTATGACAAAGGTCGTACTCAGATTTGTCAGTCGAGGGACGCTGGACATGTTAGCCATTATTATCAGCATGCTCAGCATCATCTCCATCACTTTTTAAGTTAGATGAATGGGATTTAAAAATCCCACAATCTGAATATGCAAATGTTGTTAGTCAATTTCAAGTTGTCCTGCTGGACACAAGATGACCATTTTCAGTGTATGTGCACTGGTGGCTCACACTGTAGAAGTTGCATACTGGATCAGTACCAACAGTGAGCTGTGAGGACATTTTGGGATATGGGGGCACTGAGGCCACACAGAAACATATATTTTCACTCTCACTTTGTTTCAGAAGGAGAAGATGTGCAAGAAGAGAAAACTGAACTCTCAGTCACAGGTCAGTGTCTGTCAACAACAAATATAATAGTTTATTGATCATTGCTGCTCTCATAAATAGTCTCCTAAACATGGTCTTTCTTGCCGTAGAACACAGCAGATGTTGCACCAAAGGATCTACTGAAGGACAACACTCTGCGTAAGCTCATTTCAGGAAAGACTAAACACAGTGTTAAAATGTAGACAGAAAGAAAAACAAAACAAAACAAAATAATAAATGAAATAATGTGTATTCTCTCCCTGCACTGACCAGAAAATGGAATTCCTCCTCCTCCTTTCATGCAAGGTAAATTACATGTCACTCGATACTGCTGACGTCTGTATGACAAAATCTTAAATAAAAAAAATTGTATCTAAAAATGACAATTCTGTTATTTTTTAAATCAAAAGTAAAAGTTTTTCACTAGTTATTCAGGCTGTAAAAGAAAGCAGTTTACATACATATCTTGTATATACATATGAAAATATCCTACAGGAAGTGAAAGCTAAAGTCAGAAAAAGAATAGTTTGACACTATGGGAACTATGGGTTTTATACTTGATGAACAGACATGAGAGTGGTATCAATCTTCTCATCTAACTCATGATAAGATAATTAATAGGTGTACCTACCTACCAAACCACAGAATCCAACTATTCCTGTAAGTTTTTTGGGTAAATGGTGACAGGGCTGGTGTTGGGACTGGACCCAGGAGCAGACACCCAGACAGTATGGAAGGTTTAAAGGGGGTTTTATTCCACGCACACGCACACACACAGGGGGGATGAGGGGCGGCCAGAGCAGGAACGGGTGGGTGAGATGGAGGAAGAGACCGGAGACACAGAGGCACAGGAGAGCGGACACAGGAAGCCAAACAGCACAAGGGACCCTGGGGCACGGGAGAGAAACGGTTAGACAAGGGGACACGCACAGGGAAAACACAAGAGAGCTTGAATCGCTTAACTAAATACTGAAGGGAGCCACGAGAGTTACCACCACATAGGCTGAAACAATCTGGCGAAGAATGGGAGGAAGACCGGGGTTCTTGAAGACTGGAGCATGATGAATGATTGAGAGCAGGTGAGACAGCAGGCAGCAGGTGAGGAGAATGGAGGCCGCACCCTCAGGCACACAGGGAAGGGGGAGGAGCAAAGGGAGCAGGAGGGGAGCAGAGCCATGACAGTACCCCCCCCTCAAAGGACGCCTCCTGGCGGCCTACCGGGCTTGTCAGGATGGGATCGGTAGAAGTCCGAAAGAAGGGAGGGATCCAGGATGAAGTGCCGGGGAACCCAAGAACGCTCCTCCGGCCCGTACCCTTCCCAGTCCACCAGGTACTGGAAACCCCGGCCCCGCCGTCGGACGTCCAGGATCTGGCGAACTGTGTAGGCTGGGTGGTCGTCAATGAGCCGGGGGGGGGAGGGGGTCGGCCGGAGGGCACAGAGGGCTGGAGGAGACAGGCTTCAGGAGAGATACGTGAAACACAGGATGCACATGTAATGACGGGGGAGTTTTAACCTCACCGCCACAGGATTGATGATTCTGTCCACTTCAAAAGGTCCAATAAATCGTGGAGCTAGCTTCCGAGACTCTACCTGCAACGGCAGGTCTCGAGAAGACAGCCATACCTTCTGACCAGGAGCGTAATCGGGGGCAGGGAGTCGGTGGCGGTCCGCCAGGCGTTGGTTTCTAGCCGCTGTCCGTAGCAGGGCTGCACGAGCCTCAGTCCAAATCCGGCGACAGCGGCGCAGGTGGTCCTGTACTGACGGGACCGCCACCTCCCCCTTCCTGAGATGGGAACAATGGAGGTTGAAAACCATAAGCTGCCATGAACGGGGACATACCTGTGGCAGCGCAGGTGAGGGAGTTGTGAGCATATTCAATCCACGGAAGAAATGTGCACCAGGAGACCGGATGTCGGGCGGCGACGCAGCGCAAGGCAGCCTCCAACTGCTGGTTAGCCCGTTCTGTCTGGCCGTTGGACTGTGGGTGGTAACCTGAGGAGAGACTGACAGAGGCGCCCAAGGCCTGGCAGAAGGCTCGCCAAACCTGGGAGGCGAATTGTGGACCACGGTCTGAAACAATGTCCTGAGGGATTCCATGTAGGCGGAACACGTGGGTGACCAGGAGTTTGGCAGTTTCCAGAGACGAGGGGAGCTTGGGCAGAGGCACGAAATGGACTGACTTAGAAAAACGATCAACAATGGTGAGAATAGTGTCATTACCTTCAGAGGTAGGCAGTCCGGAAACAAAGTCCACAGCGATGTGGGACCAAGGGCGACGTGGAACGGGCAAGGGGTGTAATAGTCCAGCTGGAGGCTGGTGGGAGGATTTTCCGCGGGCACAGACAGAACAGGCGGCCACAAAAGCTCTTGTGTCTCTCGCCATCGAAGGCCACCAAAACTTCCGCCGAAGGAAGTCCAGTGTCCGCTGGTAACCAGGATGGCAAGAGATCTTAGAGGCATGAGCCCACTGGAGGACCTGGGACCTGGCAGAGTCTGGAACAAAAAGCCGGTTAGGGGGGCCGTTACCTGGGTCGGGTTGTGAGCGTTGTGCTTGCTTCACCAGAGCCTCTATCCGCCAGTTCACTGCAGCCACCACACAAGAAGCCGGGAGGATGGTCTCTGGTTCAGTCCCCGGCGTCTCGGGGTCGGCTTGGCGTGATAGGGCATCTGGCTTGGCATTGCGGGACCCAGGTCGGTAGGTGAGGGTGAAAACAAAACGGTCAAGGAACAAAGCCCACCGGGCCTGACGGGAGTTGAGCCTCTTGGCTGAGCGGAGGTACGCCAGGTTCTTGTGGTCCGTCCACACGATGAACGGGAGAGCAGCGCCCTCCAACCAATGCCTCCACTCCTGAAGGGCTACCACCACCGCCAGCAGCTCTCTGTTCCCAACGTCATAGTTCCTCTCCGCTGGGGACAGGCGTCTGGAGAGGAAGGCACAGGGGTGCAGCTTCTGGTCCTTGGGGGATCGCTGGGAGAGTACTGCCCCAATGCCAGTGTCAGAGGCATCCACCTCCACCACGAACTGGAGGGAGGGGTCAGGATGCCGCAGCACCGGGGCAGAAGTAAACAGTTCCTTCAGGGCTAGAAAGGCTGTTTCTGCTTCAGGGGACCAGGCAAACGGTACTTTCACTGAGGTGAGTTTGGTCAGGGGAGCAGCTACCTTGCTATAATTTCTAATAAAGCGACGGTAAAAGTTAGCGAACCCCAGGAAGCGCTGCAGCTGCTTGCGAGTGGTTGGACTAGGCCAATCAGCCACGGCCTGAATCTTGGCTGGGTCTGCTTTAACCTGCCCCCCGCTCAATTATAAACCCCAGGAAAGACACGGATGTCACGTGAAACTCACACTTCTCGGCTTTCACAAAGAGCTTGTTCTCAAGGAGTCTTTGAAGGACCTGCCGAACATGCTGAACGTGTTCCTCCTGAGACTGGGAAAAGATGAGTATGTCATCTAAATAAACGAATAGGAACCTGTTCAGCATGTCCCTCAGCACGTCATTGACTAAAGCCTGGAACACAGCTGGCGCGTTGGTCAGGCCAAACGGCATCACCAGATATTCAAAGTGGCCTAAGGGGGTGTTAAAGGCAGTTTTCCACTCGTCTCCCTCTCTGATCCTGACAAGATGGTATGCGTTTCGGAGGTCTAATTTCGAGAACACTTGGGCCTTATGAAGGGGTTCAAATGCCGGATCAATGAGAGGGAGAGGGTACTTATTCTTAACGGTGATGTCGTTAAGCCCTCGATAGTCAATGCAAGGGCGGAGGGTCTGGTCTTTCTTGGTCACAAAGAAGAAACCAGCCCCTACCGGAGACGAAGAGGGTCGAATTAGCCCTGCCGCTAGCGAGTCACCTATATATTTCTCCATGGCCTCGCGTTCTGGTCTGGAGAGGTTATACAGGCGACTAGTTGGCAGAGTGGAACCAGGAAGCAGCTCAATAGCACAATCATATGGCCTATGCGGAGGTAATGTGACGGCTCGACGTTTGCTGAAAACCTCCCCAAGGTCGTGGTATTCTACAGGGACAGCGGATAGATCGGGGGGCTCAGGAGGCTTGGAAACAGTGGGAGATGACAAAACACTGGCAGACTGGAGACAATGTAAATGACAGTGGGCGCTCCAACTAGAGAGTGAACCTGTAGACCAGTCAAATTGGGGGTTGTGGAGCTTAAGCCAGGGAAAGCCTAATACTACGGGAGCGTTGGGTGAAGAAATGACTAGCAAACTGATCTCCTCACGGTGATTACCAGAAAGGATAAGAGTGAGAGGAACGGTTTGTCGAGTAATGTTGGCTAGATGTTTTCCGTCTAGGGCATTAACGGGTTGGTTGTCTGGGAGTTTGACAGTGGGGATTCTTGCCTGAAGCACGAATGCTGAGTCAATGAAACTCTCCTCGGCACCCGAGTCGACCAGAGCTGTGAGGGGAATGGAGTTTAACTGCCAGCGAAGGGACGCATTTAATTGCAAGCGAGAAAGGGGGGCTGAGGTGGAAGTGGCGACTTGGCTCACAAGAGTTCCACCATTCTCTGGTGAGCCTAATCTTTTGGCAGCTGGGGGCAGGCAGCCAAGAAGTGACCGTGCTGGCCACAATAGATGCATAAACCGGACCTAATCCGGCGTTGGCGTTCCGCCTGGGTGAGGCGGGTGCGGCCCAATTGCATCGGCTCTTCTACGGGCTCGAGGGGTATCTGGCTCGAGGGGTGTTTGGATGGGGCTGCTAACTGGGGACCTACCGAGATGGTGGCTCTGGGTAGAGCAGGGAAAGGAGAGGCTAGTGGTCGCCCCCCCCTCCTCCACGCTGTCTCTCACGAAGACGATTGTCGAGCCTAATCGCTAGTGAGATTAGCTCATCGAGGCTAGCAGCGCTATCCCTAGCCGCTAACTCGTCTTTCATAACCTCAGACAGCCCATGCACGAAAACAGTCTGTAACGCCTCTTCACCCCAACCACTCTCGGCCGCTAAAATCCTAAACTCGACGGAGAACTCAGCTACTGAACCTGATCCCTGACGAAGATTCAATAAACGCTTAGCTGCCTCCTTGCCTTGCACAGGATGATCAAAAACCTTTCTTAGTTCCTCAGAAAACCGCTGGAAGGAGTCACAAATAGGGGAGTGCTTCTCCCACAGGGCGGTAGCCCACTGAGCTGCTTTCCCTGACAGTAGGCTAATCACAAAAGCCACTTGGGCGCTATCTGAGCTGTAGGTAAGCGGCTGTTGTTGGAAAACTAGCGAGCACTGAAGCAGAAACCGCCCACAAGCCCCCAAATCCCCAGCATACCGTTCAGGTGTAGGAACGTGTGGTTCCCGGGGCGGGGGGGGAGGAGAGGCTGCATGCGGCATGGCTGGGGAGGCAGAGGGAGTAGCTGCTTCAGTGGCGGTGGTAGGAGCTGTGGGAGGAGTGGAGACCTGATCGAGCTTGGATCCAAGGGCGGCCACACTACAGCGAAGGTCCTGGATGGCTGCCACGATCTCGTCGAGGACCTTCTCGTGTTGGCCCACTCGTTGTCCCTGGTAGGCCAGTGCGCTTCGGACGGAGTCTGGGTCCGCTGGGTCCATGCTGGCCAGATTGTTCTGACAGGGCTGGTGTTGGGACTGGACCCAGGAGCAGACACCCAGACAGTATGGAAGGTTTAAAGGGGGTTTTATTCCACGCACACGCACACACACAGGGGGGGATGAGGGGCGGCCAGAGCAGGAACGGGTGGGTGAGATGGAGGAAGAGACCGGAGACACAGAGGCACAGGAGAGCGGACACAGGAAGCCAAACAGCACAAGGGACCCTGGGGCACGGGAGAGAAACGGTTAGACAAGGGGACACGCACAGGGAAAACACAAGAGAGCTTGAATCGCTTAACTAAATACTGAAGGGAGCCACGAGAGTTACCACCACATAGGCTGAAACAATCTGGCGAAGAATGGGAGGAAGACCGGGGTTCTTGAAGACTGGAGCATGATGAATGATTGAGAGCAGGTGAGACAGCAGGCAGCAGGTGAGGAGAATGGAGGCCGCACCCTCAGGCACACAGGGAAGGGGAGGAGCAAAGGGAGCAGGAGGGGAGCAGAGCCATGACAAATGGGAAGCTAACAGTTAGCATGCTGCTCTTTACTGACATGAGGTTCACACAGAGGAGATTTACCTGAGTGTCTAAATAAATGTTTAATGTTCACTTGAATCCTTTTCTTCAGAGAGAGCATCTTCACATTGTCCTCAAGGCTGGCAGCCATACCACAACAGCTGTTACCTGCTGGTCAACCTTACATATACCTGGACCAACGCAGAGGTACAACATGGAAGATGAAACAAAAGAAAATAAATGATCTTTTTTCCGTTTGAAGGTGTAAACAGTTGTTAAATGCTAACCTGTCCAAGAAACATCTTCAGACATCACTGGTTACTAACATAGATTACTTCACTTTTTCTTCAACATTTCTGAGTGCTTTGAAGGTTTTCGCTGTACGTATCATCTTAAAGGAACATTCTGACAGCTCTGATAATTTCACTGGAGTCAGATGAGGTGATTTATCTGGTTTATTGATGTATGTTCAGGCTGTGTATAGCCTAGCTTAGCACAAAGACTACAACAGCACCACCAAAACTGAATTCAGATTTTCTCCCAAATGTTGGACTGTTCCTTTAGTGCTTGTGCAACCACAGCCACTGTTAGTGCTTGTTCCTCTGTTTCTTCAGTACAAAGTCAACCATTGAAGCTGCTCTCTGTCCACTTTTCTATTCATGCCTTTGCTTGTGTGTCCTTCTCCCTCTCTCTGTCCAGTTCCTGTGTGAGAGTCTGGGTGCGAGCCTGGCGTTGGCCCACAATTTATGGGAATACAATTTCCTGAAGCAAATGACCTGGAAGGCTGGTTTCTTAGCAGCCTGGCTCGGTGGATACAGATTCCAGGTCAGAGATGATATCAAGCTTTACAAAAAGACACTTTTCCACAGTGCTGTAACAAACACTTACTGTAAGTCGACTGCCTCCCCCACACACACAGGGCTACTGGAAGTGGGATGATGGCACACCATTCAACTACAACAACTGGTACAAGCACACCAGCAGCAGCTCCTATGACTGTATCTACTTGAACAGCCAAGGTAAGGAAACACACTGAGGTGAGAGTGAACGACTTTGACAAGGGCCACATTGTGATGGCTAGACGACTGGGTCAGAGCATCTCCAAACCTGCAGCTCTTGTGGGGTGTTCCTGTCTGCAGAGGTCAGTATCAAAAGGGGTCCAAGGAAGGAAAAGAACTGGAGACAGGTTCATGGGGGGGCCAAGGCTTTCTCGTCTTGCAGGTTCTCATGGATCCTGGTGGAACCTGCTCCCATGGTCCTGCTTGACTGTCATCGCTAATATTATTTAAGAAGAAGCCTTTATTTGTCATTGCACAGGATACAATGTAATTGCATAGTATTGATATTATTGTTATTATTATTATTATTACTACAGATACTATTATTATTATGGATTATATGTAATAAGGATTCATTAATTTACAAAAAAAAAGTAACTATAATCAGCCCAGATTACATTTGAAAAAAATGTATTAGATTATTTTATTTCATTATTGTAAATTATCTTGAAGCAGCGTTTTACTACTAACTTAGTTATGTAAGGTACAGAAACATAGAGTTTCTAAGTCAGTGTCACTTAAAATTTCCAAAGCTTCATGAGTCATTTAATTTAGTATTATTATTATTATTTGAGTAATTTCGCAATTTAAGCAATTCCCCCCTGGGATTATTAAAGTATTTCTGATTCTGATTCTGATTCTGATTATAATGAGGAAAAGAAGAAAAAAATAGTCCGACATGACGTGGGGACGTTGGGTCATTTAATGTTTTTCAGGATTACAAACATTTACAAAACTGTGACAAGATACCAAAATATCCCATGATTCATATGAAAACTACAGCCTGCTGTGTGTTCATGTACACGTGTGACTGTGTTGGTGCCCTTATGTTTATTTGTAACTTTATGAGGGTGTTGATGATATTTTGGTCCACTGATACAATCACAGGATGATTGATTTATTACATTGGCCCTGTTAGAATATGAGCTCCATTACAACCACAGTAGTGGTTTACTGCTGTATAAAATCCTTATCTGGATTTATTGCAGGAGTTGTTCACATAATAAGGAAACGTCCTCTGACAGGATTTGCTGTGAACAGTCAGGGAAACACAAACAGTTTGTTTGAATGTAATCACATTGCAGTTTACAGCAGAAACAAATTAACCTGGTTCAGACTGTTTACTGTTTCCTGTGTGCCATAAAGAACAACAGCTGGGACAAAGTCAGCCATAATAAATGTTCCTTGCATTGACTTAGGATTTGCAGACTAAACATCAAACATAGACTTTCAAGGACAGCAGGGAGGTGTCTTTATGAACGACCTTCAGATTACAAAGAAATCAGCCGGATAATACAATCTGCTTTTACAGTCAGGGGGAAGTAGTCAACATCTTTTTGGGTTGTTTCCATTTTGTTACACACTGGACCTTTAATGGGAGCTAAGGACACACACACACACACACACACACACACACACACACACACACACACACACACACACACACACACACACACACACACACACACACACAGAGTTAAGCAAGAAGAACAGAACAAACTGATTGACAGGACACTCGACTACATGTTAATTTAAATTATATTTAAGGTTTATAATATATCAGAAGGTTTAGGATGTGTCTTTCTGGAGGAAAACATCATTAACATGAGTGTTGTATCATATAATGCTATCAGTCAGATCTCTATCAGTCATATCAGTCTTATTTATGTCACTGTTTCCTTATTGGCCCTCATTGGAACACAAACACACTCACGTTTCCACTTCAGTCAATGGTCAAAGTTCATTCATTCACATGCTGCTCTGTGCACCAGCTGTGCTTCAGGTGTGTGTACATAAAGAACAAGACAGCCTCCTCTTCATCACTGCATCACTCACCTGACACCTGAGCACCACCTCACATTTACCTGACAGGTAAGACCCCTGCTCTGTCTCTCTGTCTCATTCCATGTTAGTGAATGCTGGAAGTGTCTGACTGCCTCTGACTCCCCGCAGACCTTCAGACTTCATCATCCTCATCTTCATCTTCATCATGAAGGCTCTCTTGCTCCTCTCGGTTTTGCTCTGCGGGGCTCTTACAGCCACAGCTGCAGCAGGTCGGATTTTTAAAATTTTATTTAAACCTTGTTGTGTCCCTTGTATGTGAAAACCTCCTTGGCAACAAACCTAACTCTGATTCTGATTCTGATGTAGATTTATCCAGAATTTGACTTTTAAGCTTCATGGTTGATGAGTTCTGGCTGATTTATTAACCGCCAGATGGGGGCAGAACTGGGTTTGGAACCACACAGTAACAGAGTCGGGTTTATTGCCAAGGAGGTTTTCACATGCAAGGAATCTGCCTTGATAAATTGCTACATAACAATAAACATAGAAAAATACAAATATAGATAAAATAGAGACAATAAAAAGAGATGATATATACAGATATGAAAAGAGACAATATGTACAATACAACTGTTATTTAAATAAATGAATGAAGAGCTGTACAGTTTGCAGGAATGTGCAAACTGTTGTCCAGGGGAATGTGCATAGGAGTAGGTCTGTTTCTCTCTGACTTTTGCACATTTGGTTCTTGTACAAACTCTGAACATTCTGAGAGTTCAGATATTCTTTTAAAAGCAGGCTACAAAATCGAATCAAAGCAAACATCTTGACTGAGTGACTGTGTGTGTTTTGATAGCAAAATTCAATTATTTTATTGTAATTTACAACACAGGGAAATATTGGAAAGTTTCCATGAACACAACCTGACTGAGTGCCCACAGTTTATTCATCTGTTTAGTGGTTTAATAATCACTAGTCAGTCATTATTTTTCTACCAAATGACATCCGGGGGGCTCCGTACTTTTTGGTTTGAATACATGGATGAATAAATGAATGAAGTGTCAGAGACAGGTGACACACAGCAGCCTAATCCTTATGTTTTCTTCTCAGTGGGAGCTGCTGAAGCTGCACCACAGGAGCTGCAGGAGGACAACCAGAGTAAGTTGCTCTCAGGTAGAAAACAGCTGCGATACAGTTCTAATGTAAGTTATGTGATGCTGTGAACTGACTGTATCATCACACTGTAACACAGCTCCTGTTTTCTGTTTCAGTATCAGAGGCAGAAAATGAAGCTGGAGTTTTTGTTCCTGAAGGTAAATAGCTGAACAGATAATTCACCACATCTTGGGTCATATTAGTGACATGGTCATAATGGGATTGTTCATCTCTGTTTAGAGGAAAAGCCTGGGAGGTTTTCTGCTGGAGAGATGGCTCCATCAGCTGAAGGTTTACTGTCTTTGAATATAACATTGAGTCTGTCCATCAGTGTAATGGAATCAAAGCCTTTGTTCCAGCATGTGCTCCTCTCTCTCTCCTCTGCAGGTCGTTTTTTCGCATGTCCCTCTGGCTGGGTCAGATATAAGAGCAGCTGCTATCAGTTAGTGAGCTCCAGCAGATCCTGGAGCAGTGCTGCGGTACTTTACATTCTTTATTAAGACACACTTTTACTAATTTTTAAGTGTATTTCTTTGCTGTACATCTGAAAAACTCACATTCACTAACATTGAAATGTCCATTCTGGCTCCTTCCAGGCCCACTGTGCCAGTCTGGGAGCCTCCTTGGCTTCAGTCCATGATCAGTTTGATTACAGTTTCCTCCAGGAGCTCACCAGGAGAGCAGGATACACCATCTCCTGGATGGGAGGATTCTACTTCCAGGTTATTAGACCCTCATACATATTTTATAAAAGCCACTATATCAGATGAATCACCATCCTAGATAGGCTGCATCAGCATAAAAATATGAAAATTGTGGACAGAAATCTCCAGTCGAAGTCTGCTGCTTGTTAGACTTGCTGTGTCTTGTGTCCAGGGCTGGAGGTGGGTGGACCAGAGCTCCTTCAGCTACACGTACTGGAGTACAGTGAATTCTGCCAGCAGCTACCCATGCGTCTACCTTAGAGTCTCTGGTAAGAGCACATTGCCATCTGTCACTGCAACTTTAGTTACATTCAGCTAATGATACTCCTGATTTAAGGGAGTGCATTTCAGTTTATTTTAATGATGATAAATGATTACAGTTAATATTTAGCTCATGTAGTGTTGATGAATGAACATTTTCTATTGCAGGGGGCTGGTCCAATCATGCCTGCAGTAATACATGGCCGTCTATCTGCATGAAGAGGACTGACACCTGCTAACCCTGACACCAGGATACAGCTGTGTGTGCTGATCTTAATCATATTCATTGCAATGTGGTGCAGGACATTTAGGATTGGTGTTCGCATAAAAACTTAGCTTTGAGTTCAGCAAAAAGAATCAGAGGAGTTGTATGTATTATAAGACATTATTGAATGAGATTTGTTGATGACTTCATGCTGTACATATAAAACAAACTACTGCAAAATCAGATCTGTAAAGAGGCCACCGTCCAGTTTTGATGTTTTTTAAACTTTAGAATATGTGTTTTACATAAACATTGTATTAGAAATTGAAATACATGTCAAATAATAAACAATGTTTGATGGACTAAGTTATTCTTGTGCCGTATTTGCACCTGATAGCAAATGTTACCTACTTGGTGTCCTAGTATGGATGCTAAATGGAATAAAAATTACTACCTACCCGGTATCTTGCCAAAGCGTATAATACACACACTGGTCCACTGTGGCAGTGTCATATTTTCAACACATGCTCATTCTGTGCTAAAGTTAGCAATAACAAATATGCAACATCTGGTTACACTAAGATTGTAAGTTATGTTACGTATCCAACTAAAAATAAGTCAGTGTCTTGTGTGAAACCAAAAGTCAACATTGGCTTATATAATGTAAATTCAATTACATAGCTAATGTACTTACTTTAACCCAAACAATGGTCTATTCTTAAATTATTAAACTATTTATTGCTTTCAGTTTTTTTTCAGTTGTAACTAAAACTTTAACTTGTTGTTTTTCTGTACAATGAAATCCTAAATTCACTATAACTACATCAGTATTTTTATGCGTGTTATTATATGAAATACAATCAATCCACTTTGCCTCTTACTACCGAAAGGTGTGCACTTATATACACACATGCAGCAAGATGAATGGAATTAGGTTTGTAGGAAATTAATGAATGATGGCCAGGATGGAGTAGGTTTTACTGTGATTGAAGGAGGTGGATAGATTTTTCATAGAGATGCAATTTATACGTTTTTCCAGTGTGTAATATTTATGTTGTTACTTGATTTCCGGAGAACTGTAAGGTATTTTTTTCTGCTGGAGGACCAATTCTGTATTTCTATAGAAATATTTCAAAAAGCACCTTTGTCTAAAAATATTTTTCCTTTTACTGAAATTCTCTCTAAAACCACCAGTGAGGTGTGATGCTGAGGTTATTTGTGACTATTTAGGCACTTCCCCCTGTGCAAGAGAAGCAAACATTGGCTTGCCCAAAAAGGTGCCATTGATTACACTCCACAAGCATTGTCACATATTCTCCATATTTAGAGTGATTTAAAAGAACGTTCAAAAGGTTTTAAGAGCAACTGAGATCCAAGATTTTCTCACCCTAAGCACCTGTTGTTAAGAGTTTATGGTCTGCACATGAACATTATTAGACCTAGTCATTCATTTGGAAAGCCTGAAATGTCAAATTTAATAATATTATGTCATACTAGAGCTTAAGTTTCAACTTGGTGACTAAAACTGACTGAAACTAAATCAAAATCAGATGCCAAAGTAAACACTGCATTGAAGACTTTTTGTTCAGTATTAAAGCTATAATCTGTAACGTTTCTGCATTAAACAGTCTAAAACTATGTTCTATATGTAGTTGTGTACTTCCATTATCCCAAATGTTTCCAACAATGTTCAAACTCAGAGAAATCTGTCATTTTATTCAGATAACGCTGGTGTCATATCCCCTTTGTGCCTGCGTCAGTGTTGTGGTTGTCTGCCAGAAGCTGTCATACATTGACTTTTTATCCAGTCTGAAGCCACATTGTTACCATCCACTGTTTAGATCTTGGTGCTTTTTAACTCTAGATTTGAACCTGATGAAGGATTTTAGTTATAGGACGTCTGGATCTTAAGTTATCAGAGAAGAAGAAAAAGCTGAGCTAACGTTGGCAGCACCTCGGCTCGCAGCACAATTTGTCCAACTGTGTGGGTGAAACAGCAATTTTTAAGGTGGAACTGTTTTATTCAGTGTTTTTAGCGGTTTTAATCAGCGTGAGGAGGAGAACTCTGTGGATAATTGGGCTTCCGGTAGAAACCTCCTGAACCATGAACACTGAAGGAATCCTAACCGCGATAAGCTGACTTGCAATGACCGCAATGGTGGTAAAGACAACAACTCCCATGATCCCATCTACTTCACATCATCATCAAACATCGTCATCTTTTGCTATTGTTTTGATGTTAGACACCCTAGTGGCAGAAATTACACATTGTATGTTGAATTAATACATCAGAAGATATTTCAACAGTTTATTTGAAGATCATCAAAAACACACAGACTTGATTCCCAACACACATCAGAAGATGTTCAGTTTATAAATCATGATCACAAAATGAAGAATGCCATGAAGTATTCAAAACCTTTAACCTTCAGTGAAAGCATGCGTATAAAGCCATCACAACACAATTATTCTTCTACATTTGATCCCTGATCAGCAATTTCATCCAGTTAAAATCCTAGCATCTTTTTCTCCTTCTTTCAATCCCTCCTTTTATTACTACAGGACAGTGACATCACATAAATCAGCCTTTAGGTCATCCTCCTGTGGAGAGCTGACTAGTGCTATCTCTTCTGAGCCTACCTTTTTATCACCACAGCTCTCTCCTTCCCCGGCACTTTGGCCTCCCTCACTCTCACTGCTTGTTTCCTCCTCGTACTTGTTCCCACTCTGCTTCCTCTCCTCTACCTCTCGTCTGCTCTCCCCTGGTTTGTCCTCCTCCGTAATGGAGGAGTCATCACTGTCGCTGTCGTCCTCGTCTTCCCCTTTGCCTTCGTTTCTTGCTCTACAACCCCATCCATTTCCCTTGTCATCCATCCTCTGTCCACCATCTTCACCTTGACTTCCCTCTGCTTCCTCATCATCTTCCCCTCCTGTCTTCCCCCCTGGCCAGAGGCGAAGCCCCATCTGGTGCTCTAGGTTACCGATGGCTGCCCTCAGCCTGTGCCTCACACCCAGTAGGAGCCTTGGGACAGACTTGTCTTGGCCTAAATCCCCCTTCCTCATGGTCTCAAGGAATCCCACAATCAGCGCCACAGCTATGATGGCCAAAGGAATCCAAAGGACTATTAACTTTTTTTCCTTAGATTTCTTGGCTTCAGGGGTTGTCCTTATGGTCGGTGCTGCGGAGGACTTTGGAGGAAGTTGGGCGGTTGTTTGGAAACTTGATGTCACTGTGGATGATGAATTAATTACCTCTGTTCCCATGACAAACTGAGTCTTGTTAGATGCAGAATCAAATGTATAATTCACAGTCATGGAAAGAGTCGAGAGGGTGGTGTTGCTGTTGTTTGTTTGATGAGCAGCAGAAGATGCAGGGATCAGGAGAACTGACATGAATACAGTCAGAACTAGGATGGCCTTGGTCTCCATGGTGACTGTATGGGCAGTAAAAAGACAAAAAAACAGAAATGCCAGTTAGAATAATGGCAGCACGCTATAAAGACACATTATTATACAATAATATGAAGTACTGTTCTAGAGGGGGGGAAAAGCAGCAACAGAAAGAATACAAACAAGATCAGATACAGCAGTAATTTGCAACCATAATTATCACTGACAAAACAAAGTGACTTCATGTAATTTGGGATGTGTCAGCAGTTAATAAGCTAGCTGAAAAGTTCCACTACTTTCACTACCACGTTGCAGCATCACCAATAGTGTTATTTTACAACTATCTTAGGAACATTGCTGTTATGTACTGTAGCCTGCTGTATCATCACAACCTCCCTCTCTGGATGAATCTAACGAAACATAAAGCAATAGAAATTCCCTAAATATACACAGTAGGCCTATATATAATCATCCTGCATTAAACAGTATGCAGTTTTAAGAGCTACACTGTAAAACCAGATGAGAATTTAACTCAAAACACTTCTGAAACTGATGAACAAACATTCTCACTTAAAATTACTAAAGCTACTTAATCAAGAATATTTTTTTATTTTACTACTTACAAAGTGTAGTTAGTTTTACTTAATTTTTTTGGTGTAATCAGTTTCAACCACTTGAGTTAAATTAACTTATCTGGTTTTTCAGTGTTGTAGAGCCAGCGTCAGGGAAAAGAAAACACTGAATTTGTAAAAAGCTGTATAAAAGGCTTCTAAAAATATCTCTCTGATCAATATTCTCAGGAAATAATCTGCTCAAAATTAATCTAAATCACTTGATTTCCACAAACTTCCTTCATTTAATTTTTATATTTGTATACATTATCCCTTTTTATTGTCTCTATTTTTATCTTTAGGGCACTAAGGACACTATTGCAATGCAAGGAATTATTATTATTTTTCTGCCAGAAGAATCTCAGTTTTGGAAGCCTTAGCATGTTCAAAAACTCATGAAATTTGGCACAAAATTTAAAGGTAGGGGAAATTTAAGTATTCTTTTGGTCCCACACATGTGCGTTGCAAAATGGCTAAGCCATGTCCCCTAGAATCAGCCCCCAAGACCGACCGACATATATGAAAATTGGTACACAAGTGTATCATGTTCAGACAAGCAAAAACGGCTGTCCAATCTCCACCAAACTTCATAGGTTTGATGAGAGTGCCACCCTGAACACATCTACATGCCAATATCCATTCATAGTGCCCCCCTTCTGGCAACAAGAAGTAAATCTTGTGTGGCCAGATCATTTGGCTCAGTTCACCAAGAAGAGCTGGCTCTTTCGGCTACCAAACGGCTCTTCATTTTACCATATTCAATACATCTTTTGTACTGAAGTATTCAAAAGTAAAAATGTAATTTTCTAATATCAATAAATTGCTGTAGCCAATTGTTTTCATTCCATTTACAGACCCTTGTAACTCTCTGAAACCACCCAATGAATACACTAACCTGCTTGTAGAACCATTCTGCTAGAAAAAGCAAATAGAAGCACCTATAAAAAGCATAAAAATTCATCATATCATTCTGCCTCTTTGAGCCGGCTTGTTCACGACCGACACATCACTACTACACATGGCATGCTGCCGCATGAGGTGACCACAGCACACCCTGACATGCGTGGACTGCGAAGGCCCAATCATCGCTGCTTGCAGCTTTAATTATTTATATTTTGTATTTGTTTATTGTTATGCACCAATTTACCAAGGTAAATCACTTCACTATGTGAAAATCTATAGATTAGTGGGGAAGCTCTACTGTGTCACACATCTCTTCACTACGTCACTCACATGAGCACACCTTGGAGAATGCTAGCAGCTTACTGTTCTTGGTATTTTTTGCAGTCTAAAAGTAGAAATCCAAATTAGTTAGGTTGAGAAATTATGGGTGGATTTGATTTCAAATGTCCTCAGACAGA